CGGTCACCTCAAGGTTAGACTATTGCAACACTCTCTACATGGGGCTGCCTCTGACACAGATCCGGAAGCTGGAGCTAGTGCAGAATGCGGCGGCCAGGCTGTTGATGGGCCTCCCTAAATGGGAGCACATCCAGCCTGGGTTGAAAGCGCTGCACTGGCTGCCAATAGCATACCGAATCTGCTTCAAAGTGCTGGTACTCACCTTTAAAGCCCTATATGGACAGGGTCCGACTTACCTGAAGGACCACCTTTCCTCACATATACCTCCAAGAGCACTTTGGTTGGGGACCCAACACCACCTGGTGATTCCAGGCCCCTGGGAGGCAAAGCTTGCTGCGACCAGGGCTAGATCCTTCCTTGTGGAACGAGCTCCCGGAGATCAGGGCCCTGCGGCACCTTATGCAGTTCCGCAGGGCCTGCAAGATGGAGCTCTTCCGCCAGGCTTTCACATAGGGGCCGCCACCACCAGCAATGGTGGCAATAACATCGGGATTAGGAACCACCCTTGGAAGTTCCGCCATGAATTGTATGGCACTGACATTGTGGGATTGGCTTGGACTATCTACTGGACAGTATCACCCCAAGGGAAGGATCTAAGGAAATGACTGATGCCATCAAAACCACTCAAAGACCATCTTGTTTACAGAAAGCACTTTGTTGTTGCTTTGTTTGTTATTCATGATTTTATTGTTTTATCTGGTTTTATGCATGGGCTTATGCCCCTTGTAAGCTGCCCTGAGCCCACTCGCGGGGAGGGTGGGGTAAAAATGCCAAAATAAATTTAAAAATTTAAAAAAAAATTATGTAGCTGATGAGGACTCCACTGTAATCAGAATTTCTCCTCCAGCGCTCCCTCAGTACGACATGGTATGATACTGTTAAGTGTAAACCTTTTTTATTTGAGCTGAGACATATGAAATTACTGTCTCAAGCAAGACCATTCTATCTAGATGTATGAACACTAAACAGTAACATGAACTCTGGTGGTATGTCTGGTATGATACTGTTAAGTGTAAACCTTTTTTATTTGGGCTGAGACATATGAAACAGTAACATGAACTCTGGTGGTATGTTACGCCCAATCGTCTATTGTTGCATATTCTCCTCCACTAGTCATTTCTTGTATAATGTTAACATAGTTGTTCAGTGGCAGAACGTTAACACATAATCAATCCCTTTGGGACTCACTGCACCCTTACAACAATTCACACAAATTATTGAAGCATGTCAAGACTAGGAAGTGATGCCTTTGCATCTACGCCTCACCACCACTCTCTTTACATTGGCAGTACTGGTGGGAAGGGGTTTCAGGAATATGTGAAGTGAACTTTTCTGCCAAGAGGAGAGGGGGAGTAGAAAGGATGGTGATTGCCCATAGGAAAAATTAACTTTCACTATAGGTATATTTAAGTTGCCAGGATTGTGGAAAGGAGAACTATTGTGGCAAGTGATGGAATTTCAGAGGGTGAACAGTACTTCTGGTTTTAGAAACTAATAATTGACGCAACACAGCCGCTCACATTAAAAAAATTAAACTTTTCAGTAGAAGATGTGGGTCTGGCACCTGAACATCCTCACACAACCTTTTGGAATTCAATAGGCCTCTTCCATAGGATTCAACCCTTCCTGTGTGCACTTGTGCCTGTCCTGGAATCCCAAAGATATACAGGGGATGACCACACACTCACTGCAGCAGTTTCCACTCCTGCCATTTAAAAATGGTTCAGTGATAATACCCTTTTGGAACAACTAAAATGAAATCTGAAAACAAACTCAGCTGTATGCAGAGAAAAAACACCTAGTTCTTCTATCTCCTCAGTGCCCGAAGTTGGTCTAAAATACCTTAGGAGCCCAGGATTGTCAGAAATGAACAAAAACAATGGTTTGGAAATCACAGAGGATTTCTGTGGATGGAAGTGGGGTGATTTTTCGTGACTCCAGCACCCCACCCCGAACAGCATTTCAAGCTGCAGGGTGGGGAGTTGAACTCAGCTAAACTCAGCAGAAAATCCCAGTTGATCCAAGCCACTACTTCTTGGCTTAGTGTTAAGTCAGCATTCAGAAATAGGGGTTTTCTTTAATGCCAACAATTAAACAAAAGTGAAAGACACCATTGCAACAGATTTGGATGCCAGACATAGTCAGCATATGTTCCTTTGGAACACTGTCTTCTGCATGAACTCTGAGGTTAACTCAATCCAGTATACCTGCCTAACACATTCTATTTTCATACTGCACATATGCCGTGTAATCATGGCCAAATCTAGTACTGGGAAACAAACAAAAAGCATATGAGTAAAGGAACTGTAGGGAATGATAAATTACTTATAGTTCATGGAATGGCACAATTCCAAAAATAAATACACAGATATGGAACTTGATGTTAAATACTGTTTCAAAACATATGATACAGAATACCACAAAGAGATATTTCTAAACATTTATCCCAAGAGTTAGGCAACCTTTGTGGTCCAAATGCCAAAAAAACGCAGGTTCTACCTGTGAAGATATTGGTGTGCTTGTGGAGGGAGGGAGAGACTAGGTTGTCAATGGTCAGACACTCTTGGGCTGCAGTTATACACACTAAATAATCCACTTTCAATGCACTTTCCAACTGGATTTTGCCAGTTCACACAGTAAAATCCACTGAAAGTGGATTATTTAGTGTGTGTGACAGCAGCCTTGGAGAAAGGTTAAAGCCCAGGAGCTCTGCCAGTATCTCAGAGATTCACCTTGGACTGGTGGCTGTGCATGCCTGGGAGGAACTAACAGGCAGAAGCCATGCCTGTTGCCATCTCAGATACCAGTGCACTGGTTGCTTAGGCAGAGATCTGGCTCTGAGTGCCAAGCAAAATGATCTGTGATGCCACTGGTGGCTTGTGTTACATACCACTGTTGTGTCTTCTTGATTTGCTATTTTGTCAAATATATTGACAGGTTTGCTACTATGTCAAATATCCACATTCAGTATTGGCAGCAACCTTGCAACAGGATAATAAATTCTTATAGTGACTTGTTTGTTTTCTAGACATGTTTCATGTAAATGTACAACTTCTAATAACAAAGTCGTATTTCTTCATGGAGGAAGCACTTTTACAGCAGATTAACCATGCTGGCATTACAGGAATTAGTCTCCTTGTGTAACATGGGAGGGGGCATATATTGTCCCTGGTCCTTGAGCCATACCTAAATGTACCATTACCTTGAATTTCTGCCCTTGTTTTTGTTCCCAAACACAGGTGAGGAAACTGCTGCATAAATTACCTACTTTGTGTTACATAAGAATCATGCAATAAACAAAGATTTGTTGTTTTTAAGATTATTATACTCTTTTAGCTGTCCAAGATTGCTCTGCAATACCATTATTAATTACTCTTTCACTGCAGCTTGAAATCGTGTACCTTTAAAAAAATAAATTAAACCTGAAATGAATTTTGCTAGTACATGTTGATCTCTGAGCCATATTTTTTCCCAGAAATCTTTTTTCCTTAACTGCAGGGCAGCCAGCAGGGCTTTCCACTCCACATACTGCTTACAATTTAGGATGCATATTTTATGAGCTTAACTTTACAGTTCTGTGGTGCAATTTTAAACCTTCAAATGAGTAATAGATTTGAATTTGTTTCTCCCTTGCAATCTTTATGCCTAGAAGTTCTGTTTTGTGACACAGAAGTTCTGTTTTGTGACATGATGTTCTCTAGCAATTTCACTAGCTTTATCTTTGTAATTGGCCAAACTTCAAGTTTAGGTTATTACACACAAGGAGATTTTGCCTGGCAAAGAAAAAGCAGAAAAGGGAAAAACAAAGAGGTCATTTATTTCAATGGGATGGTGACGTTTAAAGAATGCTTTTTTAAACGAATGAATTTAAAGACCCAGACTGTGTTATTTGAGGACTGCAGTCCTACAGGAGAAGGCCTGATTTCCTCATTATCTATAAAGTTTGCTGATTTGCTTAAGCTATAGCAAGAGCATATTCACACATTTGTTTAGCCCTTGGCTGCTGCAACTGCTTCATTTGTCTGTTCTAAACACTGGGTAAAAGGAATTCTCAAGAGGTAAGCAAGAATCAACAAAGAGATGACTGAGGTAACTCAAGGCTCACTTATTTATCCTGGGTCAAATTCCAAAAAATAAAATAGATACACAAGTTCCAAATTTAAGTGGAAATCCTATGTGGTCTTGGCAGGTATTTGTGAATGATAATATAACTTGGCTCTTAGCTTGTGGCTAACAGCCTGTAGCCCTGAGTGAGCTGGCCAAATGGATGCCAGCCCAGCCCAAGAGTTAGAGGTATCATGTATATTTTGTTGTTGTGGCTTGTCTAAATTATAATTGTGTTTCTTTGTAAACTGCTTGGGTCTCCAATGGGGACAAAACCAAGATATCATTTAAATAAATAACTTTGTATTTATAAAAGCTCCTAAGGGGAAGACTAAACTCTTGTATTTCAAGGACTCTTTACTTCTATACAGATCCATACATGGAAGCAATGACAAATCTTTAACCAAAACCCAAGGCCAAGCATAGTCAGATTACTAGCAAGACAACATACCGGGTCTTCTTATAACTATTATAAGGGAAGTACTACTACACACCCAACAGCTATCTGTAGTTGATGTATTCATTGTTTTATATTTCATATTCTACTGTTGTACAGTGGTTCGAGTGTTGGGCTAAGGTGGAGCGAGGTTCAGTTTCCCCCTGTGCTATCAAATTTACTTGGGAATTTGGGCCAACCTTTCTGAGCCTGCCTTACGACACAGGATTGTTATGAGCATAAAATGGGGGAGGAGTGAACGATATACACTAACATGAGCCAGTGGGAGGAAGGGCAGGATACAAGTGCAATAAATAAAGTTTTAGAACATTGCCTATCAATGTTTTCTGTTGACAGAATGGAGATGTTTAAGCATTTCACTCTCATTTTCAGTGCTGACTTAGCTGAAATCTTTATCTTGGCAACTGATTATGGTTTTCTCTTTCCTTCCACTATTTAGTGTGGAATTAGATTTTAAGCAACAAGAAGACAAACTACAGCCAGTTCTGAGAAAACTTCATCCTATTGAGGAAACTCAGGTTGCACCTTTGCCTTATTCCCAGGAGAGTTACTCCTCAACTCCTAAGCAAAAATCCAAAACTGAATCAAAAAAGCACGGAAGATGGAAACTCTGGTTTCTTTAACTAAATCCATAGTATATGGAATTTAAGGCCTTCTTTGAAAACAAAAAGTTGTGGATTTTTTTTAAAAAAACGGATCTTGGTAATTTGAACAGGAGACAGTCAGCAAGTGTTAATCTGACTATATTATGGAAGCATTCTGTTCTCACCATATGTACCAAAAAGGCCTTTGTACCTATGAACTAACTTTCAGGAGCAAGGCATTCAAATCACACCTTGCCAACTTTTTATTCAAATGTCACCAGTGTGGGATGTAAAAATAAAATCAGGATAGAAATTCATGTTAGCAAAGATGAAAGTAAAACTGCTCTCCCCCAAATCCCTTAAACCCACAATCATTTTTATTCACATTTTAATGTCAAACTGCCATCCTGTTCACATCAGTAGAGTTTATATTAGTATATCAATACAGTTAAGAATTTCTACAAAGGAAAAGAGCAAGCCTTTTGTTTCAAAAGGCCTCCATTGTTACATTGCATTCCAAATATGCTGTGGGTTGGGTAGTGCCATTTTCAGCACATAATATCCTGAGGAAAGCACAATATTTTCAAATGGTCTGAAACCATGAACAATCTTTAAGATGTGACTATGTGTATACTTGCCTTTATGTGCTGTAGCATTAAGCCAAGTGATTGCATCTCAGTGAAATGCTGGCACCTTTAATTTAGTGTCATCTTCCATCACCAGTCCTACTGCTCACTCCAGATGGTGAGCAGTCAAAAGCCACCCAAAGTCAGGACATGCCTTTAATCACTGCAAGTTGACAGGGTCAAAGCTAGGGGCACTAAGCTCTCTTAGATAACATTTTTAATCTGTTGGTACCCAACAGCTAAAGTTATATGTTCTGGCATCATATTTATTGAAGGGGGGGGAGAAGAAATAGATAACATTAAGTGACAGATCATTGGCAGCTGCCACAATTTAATACTCTTTTGTAATTCAATCTTGAGAAAACACTCTACACTAATGACACACTGTGCCAGAAGTTTTATAATGTGTCACGCTTTTTAAAAGTTCACAAATGCCAGGCAATTTTATTTGGTTGTACATCGGAGAAAATATCCAACCATTCCAGTGCACATATTTAGTTCAGTATTAGCAGATCAGTACTTTCAGTAAAAATGCTGTGGAATCATACTATTTTAAGAGCAAGGTGCAAAGTTTGCCCTCAGAAACAACTTCGGTTAACAAGTGAGGTAAAGAATTTGTTAAGTTACAGCAACAGGATAGAGTTGAATACTTAACTCTACCACTGAGGTCAGTGGGTTTTGAAAATACTCAACTTTGGCAAGATTGTGCTTTGCATTTTCCCCTTTATTTATAAATCTATGTGGAAAAACAGCTTTCTTTGGAAATGTGTGCATTGAGAATTCTGTTATTGTTTATACTTTATATTTCAATAGGGTTTATTGGAGGTACAAGGCCTAGAATTTCACATCTCAGATCATCATACAGGGTGGTTTTTCCCCACTACTGGAAAGCAGCAGAAAGGATGAAGAAATAATGTAACTGGGGGGATCCACACCAAAATGTCCAATATACTATACTTGCCTCACTTCAACACCAAGTTCATTGTTTGAATATAATCCACTTTATATGGATCCCAGAGAAAGCAATTTGGTCATTTTAAAAAAGCCTGTTAATGAGTTTATAAAACATATGGTATATAAAGATTGGTATGAGCATATTAGTAAAGTTACAGTCAACACACACTACATCCTATATATGCTTTAAAGAAAAACTTACACCTTTATAGTAAAATTCCAAGAGGGCTACAAGTCACTGTACATAAGCAAACAGTATTGCTTTCTTGAGTGTGTGTGAAAACTTAAGGATCAGAAAGGCATTTCTATGCCCATGAAGGAAAGTGCAATTGTTTCAAGTTGGAGGGAAGGGAGGGGGAGTATAATGTATTTTATAATGTTTTTAAATTAAAATTCAACAACTGTTTACAAAAGATCCCCACCATAAATATTTTAGAATCCCAGTTATCTCAGAGCATTAATTATTTTTATGAAAAGAAGACAAATCCTCCTATATATGCTTATTTAGATTAAACTGATTCATGTGTTACTGAAAATGACATCTTCACATACATGAACAACTCAGTTCCTATGTCTGCTTCAGCATGGTCTCAGTGATAGTTATGAGTGAATAAGAAATGTAAGATCGACATACATAGCATAGCTTTCAATTACTTCTACTGAAAATGAAGCCTGATTCCACCATGCAAGTTGCTTTTAAATTCTCTTTCGTACGAAAATAGATTGCAGTCCAATGTAGGCAGCCGCTATTCAGTGGCAGTAAACGGAAGCTCAGCTATTCGAATGTAATCTCCAACAGAAAAAAATGAACTTGCTCAGTAGACCAACCCACAATCAAATGAGTACCTAATGTGCATGGTAGAGGCTACATATATGGGGTTTCCCATTTTTGCTTTAGCAGCCCCTTCATCGACCTTTCTCCTCACCCAGCCCTGCCAACACAAAGCCATACATTCATCCAGAGGCTGTTACTTTGGAGATTGCTACTTGAGGAAAATGAACGAAACACAGTGTATGCACATCTAGGACACCTTTTAAGGATCTGCTGGTTTGCTGCCCACAGCAAGTTTAGTTTCTTTTTGGAACTGAGGCAGAAGTATGACTTTCATCAGCTATGTGTATTTTAAGCATACATCCCTCTGAGATACATAGCGATCGATCTATGTGTTTCACAAATCGCCCATATTATAATGGGTTAATATTAACTTAGAAATCCAAAAATGTATTTTGCTTCTTGCCCAGTAAAACGTAGGCTACCGTTCTCGACAAAGATAAAGATGGGAATCATTTTGGAGCTGAAAAATTAGACTTTTAATTGAGTCTCCTAATAGAGTATTTTCCCTAAATTGGATTGCAAATTTTAATTTTTTATATTTTCTTTTTAAAAAAGGTAAAGTACATACTCTTGCTCAAAATTGTGTTACCATTCCATACTATGTACCTTGTAATAAACTGTTCTTTGCAAGTGTGTAAACCGTATCATATTGTATTACATTTAGGATCACTCAGGCACAGTTTAGAGGTTTTAAGAGGGAAAGTTAATTATTTTAAAAATGTAGCTAAATACAGTATGTGATTGAAATGGTGATTGTTCCACTTCAATGAGATATCATATTTAAAAAAAACAGGTAGAGCCTCCAAAAGCAAGTGTATCATCACTCTCCAATCTGGCATACTATTTAATTTGCTGCTAAATTCATTAGCAATATCATGTGGTCCTAAGCACTGGTTTACTTATAAACCCACTATCATATCATGCTTTGACTCCATTTCTGACCAATAAATGCTGCAGTAATTTTATATTACTTGCTATTTTCATACTACAGGGACAATATTTTCTAAGTTTGCATAATTCCCATAAAGCAACAGTAACATAAATCCTTGTTTTGAGATTATTATTGGGAAACAATACATGTAAATATCACTTGTTTTCTTAAAGAAATAGACACTGTAAGATACTTTCTATAGTCAGGATAAAACAAAAACTATTAAAATGAAAAACAATGTATGAATTGTTTGCTTTTATTTTTATTTCTCTTATGAAAATACTCTTGTACAACCACTGAAACAATACTGACTGAGCTGTCTCTATTTTCCTTCAACATTTCCTTGTTAAGTTTTAAAAATCCAATAGATTGATTTTAAAATGCTCATGAAAAATTAAACTTCTTGTTAAGATAGCATTATTCCAACAACATCTGCATAATAGCACTGAGTTGATATTATTTGTAAACTTGGTAATTATCATTGCCACTAAACAGCATCATAACGGCGCAGACTTCTACTGTGCTAGAATAAATCAGTGGGCTTCCAGCATCTCTCAGCATTATTTCCATATCAATAAAGTATGAGTACAGGCTGTTTAAATTAATGTGGGCTCCTGGAAAGATACTCCCCTATTTATTTAGCTGAATGCAGTCTATTAAGTATTTTTTTTGTTTTTTAAAAAGATACTGCATGTTCCATTTCATACTGCATATTCTACATTACGGTTAACAGCTTCATAGTACAAAGGGAACCCAAAAGCAATAATAATCATAATCATAATTTTAATAATAATAATAATAATAGTCATGCAACATGACCTGCAGTGCAACCCTAAATTGACTTACATCCTTCAACATCCACTGAAGTAAATGTGCTTAGCAGGGTGCAACTATGCTTAGAATGGTACTGTTAATATGCAGTAAGGAAACATGAAGCCTCTTACAGAATGAAAGTAGTGTAAACAAGGACTATACTATTTTACCTAAAATATCAGCTAATTGAATACAGTGGCCAAGAAACTGAGCTGTACCATAGTGCCCCCCATTTAAAATCTCAACTTTCCGTCAAGCAAATCAGTATTCTCTTGCTGTGCCCCAAAATACCTGCCCAACATTTCAGGAAACATTTGGGGCTGCAGTGAAGGAAAGGGAAAGGAGAAAGCCACACTCTACAGGTGAAAAACATTTCAACCGCAGAAATGTTCTGGTAGATTCAAGCCATTGTTTTCCATTGATCCATTCAAACATTATTATACTGGGCTCTTTTTGTAGCAGGAACCCTTTGCATATTAGGTGACACACCCCTAATGTAGCCAATCCTCCAAGAGCTTACAGAGCTCTTCTTACAGGGGCTACTGTAAGCTCTTGGAGGATTGGCTACATTAGGGGTGTGTCGCCTAATATGCAAAGGAGTTCCTGCTACAAAAAGTGCCCTGAATGTACTTCTATACACATACACATGTAAGACGTAAGTGACATGTCAAGACTGCATAATACTGTATGCAATGAACCGTCCAGTTCTTAAGTTTCTGCCTCTGTAACCATCTATAAAGGGCCAAATACCTAGTCAGCCAACACTACAGAGAACAATACACTGACCAAACTCATGAAACACACAAAAATTAAGCACCATCTTTTACATTGCCTTTGTAACACAGTCATAATTTCCATGTGGTCAAGTACTATGTT